GCCCAGTGTAGGGGATCACCCCAATCTTGCACCTCAGCTTTCGCCACAACTAATTTTGCATGGTCATTTCATCTCCCCCTTTCCTCTTCCTTCTTTTCTTCAACCCCTTCTTCCATCCACTTTCTAAAGTGTGAGAGTTGTGCTGAAAGGATGAAAGGCTGGTTTTTGTGTCCGTCATGAATGGCCTCCGGGAGCCATGGTCACAGTACTCCCCTGGTTAATTGCCTAGCCCATAACCTTCAATGGGGACCCTGAGGGGTAGACCATTTCTTCTCCTCATTTACTTCAGGCTCACCATGGCCGGTAATGAAGATTTTTACTCTTATTAGTAGCATCATCAACTAGCCTATGTAAATTTGATTTCATTGGCTTCCCAATTGCTGCCTCTCATTTGACCATGGGTCCAACCACTGATACTAATACCTCATCCTTGATGTTTGAGTGACCCACCGAGGTCAATACTCAACCTTCAGAATACACCCCTTCCCCTCTCCCAACATCCTACACTCCATCCCTTACTGCACAGTCTGCTTTATTGTCTACCCCCACACTTATTATTACTCTTCATCCTTATTGTCCTCCTCCCAACAGTACTACCTCTCTCCCTAACACACCATCTTCCTCCCGCCCTACAGCCCTGTACTCTGACAATACCCTTCTCTTACACAATGTCTCCGAAAACAAGTAGGCAAAGTTTAATTTTTGCACTTGCTCACATGCCTCAGTGAGCAAGTGGCAGTTCAGTGCTATTCTATTGCTCCCAGAGGCCAACCCTACACCAATATTGCCAAAATTAGTTTCTGTAGACAGGACTCCCCCCATGAAGTTTATATTGTTTATAGTGTCTTGCCCTGTCCGACCTTATCAACCCCTTCCCCATCAATGTCAGAAATGTTAGCATTTTGGTCACCCAGCCAAACACTGTTGCTCCAGAGCCTGTTGCCCTCTATGTACCCAACCTGGGCATGACCGTTCAAATTGCTCTGCTTAGTCATGCATATTTGCTAATTGTGGTGGCTCCAATAATGTATTTTATAGGAGCTACCTTGCCTATATCCTCAAAGCTGAGGTAGCAGCTCTCAGATTCAAACTAGGCCTACATGAGGCCAGACAAGATGCACGCCAACAAGGTTTTTCTCTTTCTAGCTATTCTAAAATTGTGCTTCATTCTGCTCTCCTCCCACCTCATGAAGTCTCAGCATCTTCCCCAGTAACTCTTCTCTCTATCCCAAACCATTCTGTCTATACTCCAACTCTCCCCCAGTCAAATTTTTTTTCCAGTCTAAATCTAGATACTCCAATCTCTACCACATCCCTGGGGCCTACCCTTCCTCTTTTTCACTCGACATGTTGTACCAGACATTCTGAAAGTTCTACCCCATCTTCTCCTCCACATAAGAAATGTTTTTTTTCTCTGACCTCCCCATTCAACCCCTCCAGAAACTTTTGAAGACATCCTAAATTTCCTAAACATGACTTAAGAGAGTGCTCCACTCCCTCATCCATCCTCCAATCCCTCTCTTCCTATGCACTCTACATTTAAATTATTTGCTGATATCCATCATCCTCATGTTCAAGTTCCCTCATCCCTCTTCCTCCCGCTCTTCCCCAAAACACCCCATCTTCTCCTCAATGTGCATCACCATTCCCTCTTCCTCATGTGACTACCTTATATCACATCAATGTCCTCCAAAATCCCTCCCCTCCTGACATTCTTCCTGATACTTCACCACCTTCCCTTGTTCCCTTATTTCAGTCTCTGGATTCTTCTCCTACTTCTTCAACTACCATTTCTACCCATATTACCTTTGATTATTTCATAATGACTCATACATTGTTACTCTCCCTTCTTCGGACACCTACTCTCCTTTTGATCTTATCACCTATACCTTTAACCCCTTCCCTTTTTACAAATCCCCACCATATTCCATCTGCTACCATTTCACTACCATTCTATCCCAAAGTTTTACAACTTTTGACTTGAAAGATGGAGTAATGCAATATCGCATTGATATAGATATATAACACATCTTATCCTAATTGTTAACTTATTTCCAACCCTTTTTGCCACAATACTTTACCACAGTGCTATATGACCTTTGATGTCTAGTACATTGATTTCTTCTATTAACCATTAATATCTATTATCTACCATTAGTAGTAGTAGTAGCATTATCAGTACCAGTAGCAGCAGCACTAGTAGTAACAGTAGTAGTAGTAGCAGCAACAGCTTTAGTAAAACAGTAGTAGCAACAACAGCAGCAGCAACATTAGTAATAACAGTAGTAGCAGCAACAATAGTAACAGCTGCCACAGCAGTAGTAGTAGCACCAGCATTAGTAGTAGCATCAGTAAGTAGTAAAGAATATATTTTATAGGCAGGTTTCATGGTCTGTGTTGAATAAATTCTGAGAGACAAGTGATAAAGTTAAACCTAATTGAGAAATAAGGAAGAATGTGAAAATTATGTTGTTACAGAATCCTTTGTGTGAAAATACTG